GTGCTAGATAAATAGAGGAGAGTGTGCCCTCGCCTTTGAGCTCTCCTGCCCTCTGCTGCTCAGAGGGAGAAATGTCCAAGCTTCTAGTAGGACATCAGGACAAAGTTATGTAGTGAAAATAAGTCCAGGCTGGCTGTCCTTCTGGGCATCAGCTGCTGGCATCTGCATTGCTGCTGCCATGAGCATGGCACAGCAGGTAAGGGATTCCTTTTCCTTGTGGGACAGCTGTTGAGCCATTCTGATTCACCCTTTGCATGCACAGCATATAGTTTTTTCCCACACTGCTGTTTCTATCCAGCAATGTGCATATGTGCTGTGCTACAGACGTTGGTGGCCCTGCCTGTGGCAGGGGGTTGGAGATTCCTGATCCTTGAGGTCCCTTCCAACACGGGCCATTCTGTGTGTGTGTGTGTTACTGGCTAAACACCAATTGTTGCTAGCTTAGCAGGTATACTGCTAATTATTGAACGCCTGACAGCTGCTTATCAACACTTGGCCACTATTTCTGGACACCTGCTCATCCCTTAATAGAGAGAAGTTTGGAAGGAGGACAGAGGGGAGTCTCTTGTTGCCTGCCTGTTGCATCCCAACTTGCCCACAGAGTGAGTCAATTCGGCCTTGTGTGGAGGCCCTGGCTTCTCTGGAGTCTGTTTTTCTTTTGCTGAGCTTCTCCTATCCAAACAGAATGGCCTTACAACATGCTTTCTCGTCCTTAATACTAAACCCATGCAATTTGTAACTATTACAGTTCTGTAAGTGAGAATTGATCACATGATTGAACAACTGTATTTCTAAAATATGTTATGAAATAACTTCTTTTTACTAATACTAATAAAGTCTTTCTACTTTTTCAAACTGTTTCTAAGGGCAAATTACAAAACACATCGTGCTGTACTGCTTCAGAGCAATCCCACATTTGATAGCCAGTGCAGAAACAACATTCCATCCTACAGCATTAGCTAGTTCAGAGGTACCAGACGTGTATCTGGATGTGGCTGTTGTGCATAACTGGGGCTGAGGGATCAGAAGTGACAGCTCCACTCTTGAAGACCACAGAACTAAAATGGAAAGAGAGAATACTTGCAGGGCAATTGTTCTGTGTGCCTGAAGCAGGGACCGATTTATGGGGGAGAGATTTAACAGTTAAATGAGGATTACAGCTGCAAGTCTGTGAAACAGATATCAGGTGTCAATGAATGTGTTAACAGGTGGTGATGAGAAGAAATGAATCCAAAGGTGTGGGCAGGGGAAGGAAATCGGGGTGGACTCACAATTTTCCCTTACAAATAACTGCCCAAGGAGGGAGTGGAGCTGTGAAACAGCAACAATATCCCATAGCCTTAGAAGGGGGAGTGGGTCTAAAAGCTGTAACACAGACAGTGGTTA